CTAGATGTCTGTCTAACCCTGTTGGCCGATTGCTTCGACCAATTAAGTCAAGTATTGAGCTCCAGCGTTTAAACTTTATTTTTTTAAAATAAAGCTCTGATTGTAAAGAAAAATAAATTAATATGTACAAAATTTTAGTATAGATTACAAACGTTTACTGTTTTTGCTGGGAAAGGGAGTACTAAACACTGCTTTCCTGCTACGTAAGCAGACACAAAGCATTGTGGGAAATGAGAACCGTGACCGAGAGCAACAGTCAGCAAGGATGTATACTTTTCCAATAAGTGTGTTTATCTGGGAGGGGTGCTGCTGGATAGATCACGTGTYGTGATTCATTGACAGCCATACCTTATACTGTTCAAGAAAATGTTGACTGGTAGGTAATTAATTATTAGCGGTACTGCATTTTAATTTAAGAAAGCGCAAATCCGCTTATGAATTAAAAAAATTAGTAAGACTGCTAAAGCACAAATGAAATATTTAGGTCTGCAATTAGCGGATTTGCGCTTCAGTGGACTGGTGCACACCACTGTAAATTAATAAACTACCATAATGAAATGCTCCACTCTGTCTCCAGAATGTAAAACAGGCACTTATGGGTTCAGCTGTGAGAAGAAGTGTTCCTGTCCACCAGGAGTGTCCTGTGACCACGTGACTGGAGAGTGCCAACAGAAATGTCCTCCTGGTTATCATGGCGAGAAATGTAAACGAGGTATGTTACTATTAAAGGTGCATATATTTATTTTTTTATTTTTTTATTTGGGAATGATTTAAAAAAAAGAGCACTCTGTTTGTGTCAGAGTGTCCAGAGGGAATGTTTGGGCCAGGCTGCGTCCATCCTTGTAACTGCACCRGAGCCTCGTGTGACAGAGTGATGGGACAATGCCGGTGTCCAGCGGGGACATTTGGACAGCAATGTGAGAACTGTGAGTGAAGATAATATTTATTTTAATAAAGACCTGGCATTCCTTGTTGGAATGCTTATTACCCGCTGCCTTTCATAGTAGATCAGCTCACAATAGCTGTGGCAGCCATGTTTCACTGGGTTGACTCCAAAAGTTAATGAGTTGTAAAGCTTCATCAATAATTTTGAAATGATTTAAGACAAACCCACGCAACACGCGATAAATATTCAAAATAAGCAKCTTTACATGATGAATGAAGCACGATTCATTTCTGACAGTGTGTCCGGAGGGTTTCTGGGGTTCCGGCTGCAAACATAACTGTCCGGTTTGTGAGAATGGTGGCGAGTGTGATAAACACAACGGGTCGTGCCTCTGCCCGCCAGGATTCGTGGGAAGACTCTGTCAAAGCTGTGAGTACCAGCAGCATTCATTTTTTTTAGGGAAAGGTTTCCAAAGCAACATGCATTAAACAATCCACCAGAGGATGACAACGCTGTGGAATATTAAGGAGGAGCAGGTTGGAAGTGAAATGATGCAGCATGCAAGAAGAYGAATGTGTTTCTCCAGAGTCATTAGAGAAAATCTCTCAGCCACCTCAGATGGGTTTTTTTTCCTGGGAAGACTAGCTCTGATTCCTTTCTAATCAATTGCTGGCTTCCGTTGGCAGAGCAGAATCCGTCATGGGAACTTGCCGCACCACATGTAATCTGATGGAGTTGGTTAGGGCAAATTAACTCTGATGTTTGGAATATTTTTTTCCCTCCAGCATGCCCGAGTGGACGTTTTGGTCAAAGATGCCAGATGAAATGTGTGTGTGAGAACGATGCTCGCTGCGACCCGGTGAGTGGGAGGTGTAGCTGCACTCCTGGCTGGACTGGACACGACTGCAGGAAAGGTATCAGGACTGATCACTGCCAGGTCTGAGTRTTAAAACTTCCTTTTTCTTGTGTGCTGAACCACTTTGTGTTGCAGCCTGTGATGCAGGACTCTGGGGAGCTGACTGTGCAGAAACCTGCGACTGCRGGAATGGAGACGGCGGCTGCGACGCTGCGACGGGCCAGTGCCACTGTGAGGCTGGATTTACTGGAACACGCTGCCATCAGAGTATGTTTTAGTGTCTGTTAGTGATACGCCCATTAACAGAGTCATTTCTCTTTGTGTCGATTCAGCAATTATTAATGAAACAGATWGATGRTCCCTTCACAAAATGAAATAAAGACTGAAACATTTGGAAAAAGAGTCCAAGTCTACAAAATCTTAGACRTTTAGCTGACAATGTTAGTTTAATAACCAGCTCTGCACTGTAGTGTATTTCAGAACATCTACACATCTGTTCAGTTRAACCTGTGTCACAGTCACATTTTGACAGCTTCAAATAAAATCAAACGTATTATAAACAGAAAGAGTATGCAACATTTGTTGCTTTCTAAATCTGTATACGGGTGTATTTTAAGCAATTTTGCAATTTGGGAGAAATGTATGGACAAAGTTCCCTAACAATGATGATTATATTAGGATATAGTGAATTTAGCTGCACCAAAGTAAAATAGTAAAACACATCAAGCATTTTCTATCAAACTACAGTACTTAGTCTGTACAATACATGGACTACCCAAGTTTGAAATTACAGCACTGTTGGACTGCTACATTTAATTTACAGATTAGTAAATACTAGTTTTAATTTAAGTTCCTCCCTGGGAGATGTCCTTATTGTGTGACAACATTCAATATTGCTATCAATAAATCTTTTCCAAAAACTTCTTCTCCTTTCAAAACGGGCCTAAAAACATGAACAACTTCCTGAGAGGAAAAAGCAATTAAAAGTTTGTTGATCAAAAATAACATTTTTAATCCTCACGTCTTTCTGTTTATGGGAGGCCTGTTAAAAACCTATGAATTATGCCTGCAATGTCCAAGCATTCATTTTTTTCATTCTGTGCTGCAGTATCACTGCACCTCCCCTAAGGGGCACATCCCTCACTTTGGGAACTATTGTACTACCCAGAGTTTGTGATTATCATAGACTAGATTCAGCCCCGCCCATACCGTCCACTGGTAGCAGCGTCTGTGACAGCATGGAGGAGCAGAAACGGTGTCAAAAAAGGGCAACAGCTCACAGCCACCATAGAAACTAATAGATAAACAGCAGCTGAACCAGATCTGTTTCACAGATTATCAGTCATGTTTTTACAATAAATTAATAATTATGTTAAATTCATTCAACAATCATGTAAAACAGCAGATTTATACCAGAAAATATATAATTTATAAGTAACAATGATCTAAAC